CCATTTTGCAAGAGCTCAAACAGAGTGAAGCAAATGCAAGTCCCAAATGTAGGGCAATGTTCCCATTGCTATTCTGGTTACAGCAAACCTCAGCTTAAAATGAAATTGTTCTAGGGAGAAAAATATAGAACTATGGGACAAATACTGGTTTGGAAGATCAGAGAGCAGGTGAACACTCCCTGTCAACACAGAACTGAGATCCATGGGGCTGCTCTGAACAGAGAAACACAATGGGATTTGGTATGGAAAATGGGCAGGGCCAATCTTCCCTTTGAAGGGGGATGCAGACAGCCCTGAGGTTATTGCAGCTGCTACAAGTCCTATCAGGAAAGATTCTTCCCTTCTAAGAACCCAAGCTCCTGCCAGAGGTGACCAGTTCACAAGCCCACTACTCAAAGGCTACGTCTACATTTATGGCAGTGTATAGAGTGTTTATACCCTGCTAGCATGGGTATAAATAGCAGTTGTAGACGGTGAGACACAGTTTAGGCAAGTAGAGTGCCCTACACACCTGACCCTGCAGGCTCTCTACACAACCAAACAGTGCCTCTCACATCTACACTGCTACTTATAGCAGTGAAGGGATCTGCTGACTCTTTGCTGCTGGAACTTTTCCCTGGTGAAGTGAAAGGCTCCGGCAGCAGGGAAGGGCTCTGGCAGTGGGGAGACAGCAGGGAGCTGCCAGAGCCTGTTAACACTATTAAAGTCAATGATGTTGTACCAGAATAAACAAGGGAAGGATTTAGTTCCCAAGGTGGACTGACATGCTCTCCCACTTGTTAATGAGTTAACTAAACAGGGTTTGTTGTGTTTCAATATGCTAAGTGATGGGCATTCTCTCCACAGCATTTGGGGTGATGCTCCACAGCCCATAGACTTCAGAGAGTTTAAGACTTTCCAACATCACTTTTATTTTACACATGCCTTCAATTATAGTTTGACTCTTGAAGGATATATCCTCTAGTTCACATTTTATTCTTCTCTCACCCTGGCAAGAGACTGTAAGAGTAGCCATTTCTGGGTAAAGAGAGGTCAGGTGTTATCCTCCCTGCTCCTCATCTCAGACCAGTCAGACAGCCCCTCTCCCTGCACTTCAGACCAACCAGACCAGCTGCCGCAGCGCCCTGCTACGCTCCCTCATCTCCTCCCATTACCCACACTGTGTCAGACAAGCCCTACTCTCTCCAGCAGCACTCCCCATTTCAGGGCACCCTTCCAACGTCACACAGCTCCTGCAGCGTCACCCCTGCCCTGTTCTCCCCGCAGCGTCACCCCTGCCCTCCCCAGCCAGCAGGATTACGCGACCGCCCCCTCCTCTCGTCCCCCAGTCAGAGCCCCCAGTGTGGCTGCAGCCCCTCCCCTGGCCCCGCGCCCCGCCCCGCGGACTCGGCGGAGGCAGCCGGCTGAGCCCGCAGCTGGCAGAGCGCGGCGCAGCGGGGGCCGCCTGCGACTCCTACCTGGGAGCGGGAGCCGAGCTCGGGCGCTCTCCGGGCGGTCACCAGCTTGGCCGTGGTCTGCAGGTTGATGGGGGCGCTCTGCGGGGGCTCCACGCCGGCCGCGCTGCAGCCCAGCCCCCCGTTGATGTGCGCGGTCACCATCGCGATGGGAGCCTTGGCCGGCAGGACGGAGATGGCCAGGCTCTGGCTCTGGCTGCCGCCGCCGGACGCTTTGAGAAGCGCAGGGACCCCGCCGCCGGGCTTGGTGTTCCCGCTGCCCCCGCTTCCCACCAGCACCGCCGCGGGGCAGCTCCGCACCGCCAGCTTCTGCCACAGGGAGAAGGAGAGAGAAAAGCGCGAGCGTCACCACCGGCACAATCCCCTGCCCCTCGGCCCCCGCCCGGCACGCGGCGGAGAGGAGCCGAGGGGTGCCCTGGCACCGCCGCGAGCGCATGCAACATCTGCAGCCAGCCCGGCTCTGCCAGGCGCTCCAGCAGCAGCCCAGAGGCGGCACTGCGCCCTCCCTACGGAGCCCTGACCCGGAGCAGCCCTGCCTGCCACCGCCGCCTGCTCCAGCCGGGGGCGCCCCACCGAGAGCCTGGCTGCATGTGCCTTCTGCCTCTGGGCTACTTTATGCTCCCGGAGCCGGGCTATGTACCAGGAGAGAACAGAGACCCAGAGCCAGCGAGTACCATCGCTAGCATTTCTTAAAGGATGAAGGAGAGCTGGCCAGATCTTTAGTATCATTTTCTCCACCCTCACCAGGTTGCTGTTAACAGCGCACTGGCTTAGTATAGCTTTTTATTTGTCTGATCAATTTCTTTACCTGTTAAAGTGGATTTTTAGGGGTGGGTTTGTTTGTTTGGGGGAGGAGGGGAGGGAGTTGCTTAATTCCCCCTGAATCACTTTCTGAAGGGGTTTTGGTTGTGTGGTTCGACAGCACCAAGCACAAGGTCCGTGACTAGGGGTTACATCACTACAAGTGATAAATAATAATTGATAAAAGGATTTCAGAGCGGGCTAGCCAGTCTTTTCAAACTGTCATCTTTCATTAGACTGCAAACCACATTACAGCTTCCAGTCTTACCCTACACTTTTTAATTTCCCAATTCTTCAGATTTTACTTTTCCAAGTGTTGTCACTTCATTTTTTTAAATTTACATTTTCTTTAAGATTTTTTTTTAATAACCAGCATTATTTTTCAAGCTATTGGGGTCAGGCATTCTAGTGAAAGCCAGAAAACCTGTTACTATTTAAGGCATATAAAAATGTCACGTTTGTGAAAAGGTATTAGTATTACTGAGAACTTATAGCTATTTTATTTTGGATCAGGTTTTCTTCTACTATTCCATATTATGCTGACATACTCATGCCTTTATAGTTGGCAAAGTACTGGATACAAGAGACTTGTGTCAAACCTGTTTTTATCTTTATCTCATTTTAGCTGTATTAAACATCTTGTATTATGTATCACTCATATTCAGAACAAGATACAGCTTTCTGAGTAAGATTTCAGCTTTTCAGTAATATTGTTTCATTTTATATCATATGTAATATATCATTAAAAGCTCATAATTGAGACCATGGGCAAAATTCTGCTCTCAGTTACAACAGTATAAATCTGTTACTTAGAAATAAATAGAGGTTGAATTGAATTCAATCCACAGCTGCCTCTGTATCTGTGTGCCATTTACTTTAATGGGGCCAGGATTTCCAGTAGTGTAAGTGAGAGCAGAATACGTCCCATGCATCTATATTTTACTTTTGTCATATTTTATAACTGGATTTTAATGTCTACCCTAAGAAGTTCCCAATATTTAGATTGCCAGGATGGGAAACTTCACATCACAGAAATGTACAAATATTTGTACTGCTACACACAGTTTCACTATAAGCGTAAGGACATTCATTGTTTTCCTCATATAGCATTTAAAAAGATACCAAAATACTTTAAATTTTCTCTAACTCAATTCAACCGAACAAGCAAAACAAGATATGCAGTATTTGACTCAATTCAACAGAACAAGCAAAACTGAAGATATGCAGTATTTGGAACAACAGTGGAAACAAAAGCAAGTTAAGAAGCAGGAAGGATACTTTCCTTACACAGTTTAATACCCAATAATTGCTTTTCAACTTGCTGCAAAGGGGAAAAATAGAGAAAATACAAAGCAGAAATTGTGTACAATTAAACTTTTTTAGCTGTTTCTTTACTCACATTAATATGATCCACACATCCCACTGAGAGACATATTAATAATAGTTTCTTTGTGACACTATTTTCATAATAAATTGATGAAAATGCCTATTTGTATATATGCACCAGAAATAGCTGAAACATGATTAGTTTTGTTGTTTGTTTTAAATTTTAACTCAAAGCAAACATTACGTGGTTTTTATGGTTCACCCCTCTGTATTTTTCCTTGTTAAAGGGATATTTGTATTCCCCTTTAAGGATAAGTTTTTACTTTTATCCTTAAAAAAGGTAAATGCAGGGAAGAATGTTGCCACTATCATAAACCTGAAATAACCAACCAACTTATTCCAAAAACTTCTACTGAGTGGACAAAACAATACTTCTTATGATGTACATATTGAAATTATTTGTTTAAAAAGGCATGACTTTTAGAAGCTAGATGTGGAAACGTATCTGAGTGGTAGAATTCAAGATTAGTTTCAGAAAGCTAAACTCACCTGTTTGGAAGAGGTGACTTTTTTCATTTGTGTCTGATTGAATTGTTCCATGAAAATTCATCTATTAACCACACCAAAACATCTCACTTAGTCAGATTCTTTTGGTAAGAGAATAGAAACTATATGGTTTTTCTTTTTTAAATAACTTTTTTTAATGTTATACCCCAGGAAGTGCTGATAAAGGCATCTTGGCAGAAACAATAGAGTGTAGTATGACAGGTTAAAAAAATCCCCAACAAAACCTACATCTGCTGTATTACATTTCTGCTAAATTAATTAAAAGAATATTCTTGTTTCTAAAAGAGACAGAATCTGCATTTTGGGAATCAGTCAGCATAACATATTCTCTGACACTTTTGGAATGAATAATAATAAGACTCTAAGCATGCTTTGGGCATAACAGTCAAAAACATGTGCTGTCATAATAGGGGAGCCAAAAAAAATATTGGCTCTAAATGCTGGAAAGCAGCACACTGCTTCTCATCTACAGCATATCAGTCCTCACAATACACCAATTTTGAAGCAGCGCCTTTTCAATAGCAGCACAACTTTCATTTTCACTGCAGGATGCCACAGGCAAACTGGAGTTTGAGATATGTATGCCAGTCACATGCAAACACACTTCAGTGTGCTGGAAAGCTGCTGCTTGTTTATGATTTTCTATATTCTACATGGCAGATTCCTCTTCTTAGATTTCAACTGTACAAAGCAGTGCTTATATTTTTTTCCCAAATGTATCAAAATAGCTTTACCCTTTATGTTTATTTTTAAATGCAAAAAAACAGTGTGTTCCACAGAGGTTTGTGCTCATAAAGGTTTGTAGGATGTGGGGGAAACAGGGATGCAACAGTTTTACTCTCATTCCAGGACATTTGGAATAAGTGAGGCTCCTACCAGCTACTCAGATGCTACCTTGTATAATTATTAAACAGATTGCTGAGTTTCATATTAAAGAAAAGGGAATAGGGGAGAGAGATGGATTTGAAGAATGCTGCTTTCAGAAGCCACAGGCAAAAGCAAATAGCTATTCTGTCTCAGTACAGATGCTGGAACATACATGCACCGACACCCACATTGGGGAGCTGATATTACCATTCACTGTACGTTAAGGTTTCCGTTTCTCCACTTTTACTCTTCTGCAGTTTACATCATTTTTTGGTAACCTTACAAGGTCTGATGTGTCTTGTATATCAATAGTAATCCACACATGTACCTATGTAGATTGTTAAATAAGAACGATCACATTCTAAAACAATGTTATACTCTGCTACTGATTATCTTCCCCTGTGGCAGTGACTTTAAACTGATACAAGCCTGCCAACAAACCTTCATGTTTCCAAACTAAGATATGTGACCTGTTTAAAAGGGACTTAGAATTCACTGCCCATTGCTGTCTATATTGTAACCACTTCTGCCTTAGACATAGACTTTGTTCCAGTAATCCTTCCAGAATGATATTGTCTGATAATGCACTTTTGCTATGAAAAATTGCAATTGTTTCCAGAGCAACATCTATTATTTTCCGGAGCTGGCCTAGAAGGAAAAATGTTCTGTATGAGAGTTTGTCAAGCTCTCAGAAGAATGGTAACCTATTATAAAACTAAAGCGAAGGCCTACCAATTAATAATTTAACATTTGTCACAAACCTAAGGCACTGCATGTGAGATAGCTGAATAGAGATTCCCTCAGAGAGGAGGGTCTTGACCTCTGTTAATTTACTCAGTTCTTACAATAAAACTCAGTTGAACAATTGACTCTTTAATATTCTAACAGTGACAGACCACAATTCTTATTCTGGCAATAACCAAAATATATGGGATGTTTCAAGATTTGTGGTTTTGGTAACAGTATGAATTTTCATATGCTTTTCAATGTGTTTCCAGTTGCCATTTTTGATACCCAGCTGTGAGCAATGACCCTTATTCATTTGGGCCTTGATCCTGCAAACACTTATGATCCTACATAACTTTACACAAAGAAGTAGCCCTAGAGAAGTGAATAGGGCTACTCCCATGAAGAGATGTATATACCTATGTAAGTATTTGCAGGACTAGGGCCTTAGGTGGGATCGATGATGTGCTACCAGTATTTCAACAAAGGGCTCCCATAAAAACATCCTCTTTGCCTGTGGACAACCCCAAATACCACGGCTGCTGTGCTCACAGAGTGGAAGGGTGAGGAACTGAAGAATCTGTTTGGTTTCCCATTATTAAAAATGCTCTGTCATATCCATAACTTTGATGGGAACATTTTACACTCTGTTCCTGAACAACAGTTTATTGATAATAGATCACTATGTCCAATCTCTATCATTTGAACTGGGGCAATGGCATTTGTAGGTGAGTCTGGGACAGCGTCTCCTTCCCATTTTATTTTTTAAACAACCTGCCATTTTGGTGCAATCTGGTTCATTCCAAAGTGGGGGAAATTGCACTACAGAAATATTTTTAATGAACCTTAAGGATAGGTCATCACTAGGAGGGATGATTTAACAGCATCCAGAGAGTGGGGGTGAACTCCATCAGAGGCAGGAGATCATCCAACCTTCCCTTTAATTTGGTGTTGCAATTTTACCAAGTGGCTCCAGGGAGCCCACTCCAGCACATCGCCACTGAGGAGTTAACACTCTTTCTGCTTGCTGATCCACAAAGCAAGAGCCAATCGCAGCCCTCTCAAGTGTGCCATGATAGAGACCGAAGAGCATAAGGGAGACAAATATGAGGCAGAAAGAACTATGGATAGAGAGAGAAAGAGATAGATACTTAGAAAAGCAGTAGTGACTTCACTGCTGCTTGGAATTGTCTCCTGGCTTCTAGTATTCATCAGCAGGAAAAAGAAAAATCTGATGAGAACTTGAATATAGATCAAAAAACATCCTGACAGAACTGTCATAGGGTATGGAAAGCATGAATAGACTTTTAGAGCGATGACAGATCCTTGGTCAAACAAGAACTGCCCTTTGGAGAAAACAGATCAGGAAGGTACAAAGGAAGGAAGGTTTGTGTGTTGAGGCACAAAGTATGGTAGCTACTAAAAAAAAAAAAAGGCTTCTTTTGTGTGTTGTTTTCTCCCCCTCCCCTTTTTTTTGACAACTTACTGCCTGCCTGTCATTAAAAATAAGAATCCATTCATTTTTTCTCAGATCTCTGCTAATTAGCCATCGCTGCAGCAGGGCACAAGGATTTATAGTCAAAGCAAATACCCATTCTAATCAAAACTGTAGCAAACTGGGGTTTTGTTTGACGTTAACCTGAAAGTCAGTTATTGTACCACTGATGTACATACCACATTACAAGCTGAGTGCTTTCAGCATCCCTCTATCAGTGTGAAATATTTAATCGGCACAAGGATCCAATCAGCACAGTAGAGAGGAATCTAGTGTGTGCATTAATTTACTTTCAAATGAAAAGCAGTACAGCAGGTCAGAAACATATAACCTTCCTCCCCTCCCTTCCCCAAACACAGAACACCAGAAGAGTTTGGGGATGGGGGAGGGAATGGAAGCCACTCTATGTGATTCCAGATTGGAGATTTAGAAGGAAATTAGTTATTCCTGCCAAAGGATGACAAATGCTGCCTGGAGTAGAGGAGAAGGGACTCCCCCCACAAAAATAATCGATTAATTAAAATGGCTCACTATTTCTGAGTCTTCTTAAACTAAAGAGGTTGTAAAACCTTTTTTTCCAGCATGTCTTTAATTAAGAGAGACAACAAACACCCAACAAATAATGAATGAGCCTTTGTATTTAGGTATAATGACTCTATGCTCTGACTAGCTCTGATCTGTGTTAAGATACTCTCCAGTAAAGCTCTTCATTAGGAATAAAAGTGTTTTATAAGTATTACCAAGCACTTTTACACATCAGCAGTTTTTATATATTGCAGAAGTATATTGCCATGTACAGAAACTAAATGTCATACACTACCAAATTTACTTTTAATCTCTCAATGAGAAAGACATTTCTCAGAGTTTTCTTTTAAATGTAGACTATGTAGCACCTAATCTGTGTGAAACCCAATGAAAACATCAATAAAGAAGAAGAAGTCATTAATGATAATTTCTAATGTAAACTTTAAATAAATGAACCTAATGCTGTCACAAATGAAACCTAAGTGCAAAGGCACTGTAATGGGTAATAATTAAAATCACCAGAAAAACTACCCCTTATGTCAATCTGATATGACAAACTCTCAAAAATGGCTAGTTTCCAGCACAGGATGGTAATGAAGAATTAGCAGATCTACGTGAAGAGAGAATTTTCAACAGTGGTAAATATTCTAATAACAGTAACAGTGGGATTGTAAAAGCATAAATTCACTTAAATGCAATTATCCTTTAATTTCTATAACCATTACACAGCCTGCTGGGTAAAAAATAAAATAAAAATGTACTTCCCACTGTATTGCTAACTGGCAATCCACTCATCAAAGCTTCGAATTATCTGCTTAGTGACTTGTAAAAAGCACTTTTTAACAAATGAGGAGTAGGGGGGATGAGGATGATATTTAATGAGAAACGTCAAACTCATATTATGGAACGTTCTAGAAGAATCTCTGCATTTTAGAGGGGAGGAGGAGGGGCAGCTGGATTTTTTTTTTTTAATAACCTCACAAATAATCTCTCCTCCTTTCTCTCTCTCAAACCATGTCAATGATCAAGGAAATGAGAACAAGGCGCTTGATTCACAGCTGACTCTCTGTTCTTGTTACATCAGATCAAGAAAGAGCAATCTAACAGGGGCGCCTATTTCTGCAGGGGAAACAAATCTACAAGCTGGCATTTTGTCTCTTAGTCCTATTAATTACCTATTTTTTGCTCTCAGAAACAGACCTTTGTAACTTGCAATCCAGACTAACCAAAATATAATATATCTACACTCACACACATATGTATTTAAAGCCTATGCTAAAAAACTTCATTGAGGCTGATGGACTGATTTGGATTTTATTTGATGAACAGATCACTCTTTTTTCCCTTAATCCCAGCAAAAACTCTTTACTACAGTGAAAATATTAAGATAAGGCCTGATCTAAAGCCCACTGATGCTAATAACCACCTTTCAGTTGACTTCAGTGGTTGGATCAGGCCCATAGTGAAGACCAGTGAGACATGCTATATCTAGTGTGCAAATCTATGAAATGCTTTAAAATATTTTCTTCTTTTAAGCCCTAATTTACAGAAAAGCAAACTTTAGCTTGATCTCATTAATATACATCTGCCGTGCATACAGGCATTCTCCCTCAACAGACCCTGTGGTGTTTTAAATTGCTCCCCACTGGGTAACATGGGTCCTCTGGTAACCTAAAGCTGTAGTCCTACATGCGATTAGCAGCTCAGGAGATTTACATACTTTTGCTGTTGCCTGCTTCATAGCTTTCCATGATTTACCATGCCCCAGCGTTCGTGAGGATTGCGTTTATTTGGCTTATTTAATCATGTTTTTTTAAACAAAACAAAACTGGAGTGTACACCATTTAAACATTCATGTGCTTCTCATTTACGTTTTGAAAAAACAAAAGGCATCGTGATTAAAGGGCACAAGCATGCAGCACAGCATATGGAGCCACAGTAAGTGCCCCAGAACTAGCTGAATGTTTCTATTGTGTGAAAGACTTGTTCATTACAGCTACAAGATGCAATGCAGATATTTGCATTTTTTAAGAGGTGCATCTCATGGCTTTTAGATAAATCACGGAATCCAGAGCCTTTCTAAATGGCATCAAAGCCCACATTTCTTGATATCCTAACTCCCTTTGTTTCTGTAGACATGCAGCCTTTGCCTCGCTGAGTATTTTAATGTCTGAATTTCATTAAAGTTTGCATCCTCATGTTTCCAACCCAAGATATGAGCTCACAGGCTTGTGCGTTTTACTTACAAATGCCCTATCC